TTTATTTATAGTGACCCTCTATGTTGAGCTTCACAGTTGGAGCAGTAATAACTCGTGCAGCATCCTTACACACTCAGTATGTGAAGTTGTAACATGGTACGTCGTAGCCTGTGATTCAGTCGGTGCTGTCATCGTACAGTCTGCAGACATCAGACTGGATGTCGTACCCAAGTTTATGAGCTCGATGTTGCACAGTGTAGCTGCACCAAACATATAAGACTGATAAAGTCTCACAGTCTGTGGGAGGGTAAATGGAAATGAGACTGCAGGATTTGATTGTGTTGAAGTGAATGAGTTCAACTTTTCTGTGAAAATACAGTCAATACATTTTCTCCACAGTCAGCCGTGGTCACAGTAGTTAATTTCACTTCCTTGAATCTGTCTTGGTGACAAGTTTCAGAATTGGTTTGCTGAGAACTGACAGGGATCTCAAACAATCACACTGAGCTATGGTGGCTGTCATTTGGTCGCCACACTTCTGCTCCACTAAATGACGTTACAATGGTCGATGGAAACCAAAATCATCGACCCACTGAGGGTCACACTGAAAATCAAAGTAAAACATTGAAATCACAGCTGATCCCACTCATCATGTGACTCAGCAGTGTGTGGTGTGGATTGAGGTCAGGGGAACGAGAGGGCCAGTCAATGGCATCAATGCCTTCATCATCCAGGAACTTTGTCTTGGTGGAGAAATTTCAGATATTTGAAAAAAATGCTAATTCTTGTAAATGCTGCAGAGTGTGTTCACAACAGAGTGAATTCCTGGAGGGACTGACGGTGCAGATACAGCAGACATCGACTGAGCAGAGGAGATTTCAATGCTTCAAATATGTGATGAACAACAGATCAATACTCCGGTCAGCTGAGAGTGAGTTTACAGGCAATAAAAGACTTGCAATAAATGTTTTACCTAACAGGAAGTTGAGGGTTAAGTTCCTTAGAACATAACTTCAACACACGACATGTACCTGGAGTTTGGTTTCACAAGGAGAGACACCTTTTCTCTTACAAACCATCACACAATGCCTGAATGTGCAGAGCAGGAAAGAGGCTGGGTTTGGCTCTGTGTTAGTGACCATGAGGACGATGCTTTTCTCACAACTGTTGAAGCTGCACTCTGCAGAAATGTTTATGTGACAATATTCTGGACGAGAAAAACCACAACAGAGACGAGCGCCCCATCCTAACTGTGTCGCTGTTATTTGCAATAACCGTTAACCATTCTCATCTCTCGTTTGGTCCCACTGTCATGAAACTGACAGTAACTAGAGGCTAATTTGTCAGCATAATATCCCATTACTTTCTGGTGCTGAAGTAATACATCCACTTTGAAAAGTGCAGCTTTAAAGCTACTATTCCATCAAAAGCCGACACTCTTAAAGACTGACGGAGCTGATGCAGATACATCACTGACTCCTGTGTGGCCAGATGTGCAACACGCATGAACACCTCCACCCACAGAGAGCAGCAGCAGGTTTCCGACCTGACAGATTCTGTGTGGAGTGTAAACCGTCACCGTGTCTGAATCATCTTTGACATTTTATTAATGTAATTTAATATTTGTCACAACAGATGCTTTTACAGAGATGCAACACACGCTGAGCAACAAAGCAACTGGCAAAACTGAAACAAGGCTTCTGACAACATGTAGGATTATACTGCTTTGATTCCTGTCGGGCTGAGTTTGAAAAACATTTTGCATAGTCTTGTGCCGACTTTAGCCGTGCTCAATCACCAAATCCTGATCAGGTAGTTCTTGATCAAAAGAAACATTTGTGCCAAATTTGAGGAAACTCCTTCAAGGCCTTCTTATGCTATCATGTTCACAAGAATGAGACAGATGCAAGGACACAGTGGCCTCTGACCACCAAATGCTAATCAGTTCATCGTTGAGTCCAACTGGACGTTTGTGCCAAATTTGAAAATACAAAAATCCCTCAAAGGTGTTTTAGACATCCCGTTCACAAGACAAACAAGGTCACAGCGACCTTGACCTCTGACCTATGGGATATAAAATGTCATCACTTCATTATTGTATCCTGTTAGACATTTGTGTGAAATTCTGTCATAATTAGTGTATGAATTCTTGAGTTCACAAAATTTAAATCGCATCTTCGATGAGTCCAAGTGGACGTTTGTGCCAAGCTTAAAGAAATATAAAAACCAAAAACATAATGCCTGCAGTCACACATATTGGCATCGTTGAGGAATAAAAACAGATGTTCACAATTATTCTGAGATGCTTCAATGCAACATCAGAAAACAGGTTCATACAATCC